CTCAGGTCAGCTGCACCGTGCTGTGGAGAGCATAGTGGACACAGGCAAGGCAGGTGCGCACACAGATTCTGCTGTTTTTGGTGGCGCTTTGGTGCCTGGCTGGCTGCCTGGAGTAAGCTGCAGTGTGCTGTGGAGAGTATGGAGGACACAGAGTAAGTGCGAGGCAGGTACACACACGAACTCCGCTTTTTTCAAGTGCTATTTTAACAACTGGTTCGCCAAACTCAAGAGAAAGTAGGTAACAGTTCTGCCAAACCAGTGCAAACCGGCTGAATCCCACCACTGAGGTAGATTATACTGAAACCAATGGGGAGCAGGGACAGTTTAAAAAAATAGCAAAAGCTTGTTGGTGTTTTAAAAAAAGGAAAATCCAGGAATGAGAGTTCCAGTTAAGCTACATATTTCTTCTTTTCACATGATGACTGGGAATAATGGACATGTAATTAGGCAATGCAGATATCCAGATAATTTTTAAATGGCAAGACTGAGAGTTTATGTGACTGCTACTATTTAGAGATTATCCAAATTTTGCAGTGTAAATACAACAGCCTAGTTTGTGGTATATGCATCCACAAGGTACTAAGCTTAAGGCTGATATAGAACCTTGAAAAGCTATGTAGTGACACACTAGATAGTATTTCAATTGTCATCCTGTAGTACAACTTAAAAATACTACAGTAAGAAGAAAAAAGAACATCAAATGTAGAGAAAGATTTAGAAATTTAGGGACAAATTCATGCAAGGCCTGTTTTATCCAAATAGCATTGTACTTGGCAAACCAGCATCAGCTGGTAAAAATATTTCTAGCCACCAGTAACCAAGCTTATTTTCATACAGTGAAATGCACTGGACATTAGGTCTACAATATTCCCATTTCTGTGGCTCTCTGGTCTTTCATTGGAGAAATATTTTTTCATTAAATTCTCACATTGGAAGCAAAAAGTTGGAAAAGGGCCAGGAGTCTCAAGCCGAGTGGCTTTTCCCCATTTGAAGGAAATGCTCCTGGGTAAATTGATTTCTAATTAACTATAAACATTTCTGAATATAATTCCATAACTGAAGCATACCTATTGTGACACAAGCTTCCTGCAATTTCTCTCAATCTCAAGCAGAAGAAGAAAAACAGCAAGGAGATTTCTCTTAACTTTCTCTCTCTTTTTCTTTTAAAATCAGGCAGAAATTATTGGATGAGAAGATGGAAAACATAGGATTTAATATTTAATATTAAATTTAATATTTTCCCTCAGTCTCAGATTAAGATAAAATAAGATAGGCTAAGATAACCTTTATTGTCCCACATTAAAAATGAAATTCTGTTGCTTGCTCTCAAAGGAAAGTATATATCTACTCATACACATACATATTTACATGCTATACACACAAACGCACACATACACACACCAAGGAGGAAACTTGAGTGTTCACAAGGTTAATGCTATATGGAACAAAACTGTGACTGAATCTGGATGTTTTGCTTCAGATACCATGAAGCCTCCTCCCAGAAGGTAACAAGAAAAACAGGTCATGAAGAGGATTTGTAGCATCCCAGACAATCCGGCAGACGTTGCTCAAGCATTGCTTATATGCTATGTCTTGGATAGAAGGAAATGAGCTACCAATAATCTTTTCTGCTATTCTCACCACTCTGCACTGCCTTCCTGTCTGAAGTAGTGATGCTTCCAAACCAGACTGTAATGCAATATGACAGGATGCTCTTGATCGTCCCTCTATAGAAAGTGGTAAGGACAGGAGAAAGAAGATGTACTTTTCTTATGTGATGCAGAAAATGCAGGCGCTGCTGTACCCACTTCACCAGTGCCTCACCATTGAGTGACCAATCTAGCCTACTCATTAGCTGCACACTCAGAAACCTGATGCTGCTAACCACCTCCACAGGTCAATCATTAATACACACAGGTGTGTAGCTGTGCCTGCCTTTTCTGAAATCGATAATGATCTGTTTAGTTTTTCCTATGTATACATTGAAAAAAAATGTAAAGTATGGTCTTATGTTCACCTAAAATACACTCACACAAACCACAGACATACACACTTCGTGCTGTTCCATTTGCACAAAAGTCATCTACCTGTACATTTTATGGCTACAGATTTGGTCCCATCTAACTTTTTTTTTTTGCTTATGTAATACAGTAAGCAGAATGTAATATTTTAGTAATAATTGGGCTTCTGAAAATTAACTGGGGCAATCATTTTTAAACTCTACTCCAATTATAAGTTTTCTGAGATATTTATTGCAGTCTTTAAGATTAGCAATGGTGAAAAGATTTTCACTGAATGCTTAAGGCAAGGGTGTCAAACTCAATTTAATTGAGGGTCGCATCAGCATTGCGGTTGCCCTCGGGGGGCGGGGTGTGTGTGGCCAGGGGGGTGCAGCCTACTGGGTGGGAATAGATGGAGTGGGTGTGGCCTACTGGGTGGGCATGGCCAGCTCTACATCATTCGCATCAAGGTGCCTGTGGGGGCCTGGGCAGGAGTGGGACGGATCTGAGGGTCTCTGGCAGAAGGGAGTGGGACCGGGGCAAGCGACAAGGCATGGTCCATTTCTTCATTCCTCACAAAGGGTGACACTTCCCTAGCATACACCCAGGGGGCGGGGCCGACGCGGCAGGGGCTGGTTCCTCACTGTTTCTAGACGGCCTTGTGGAGCTAAGATTGAATGTGTTTCAGCATAGATGGCTACCACAAAATTGTACATTGGCTCCCGGCTGGCCTGGGCCAGGGCCAAGGCAGCAGGGGCCGTTCCCTCACTGTTTCCAGGATGGTTTCATGGGTCACATGAAACCACTTCACGGGCTGCATCTAGCCCCCAGGCCTTGTGTTTGACATGTCTGGCTTAAGGCATACCATTCTTTGAATTTTGGCATATCTTTGCCAGTCTATTGTATGTCGATGGAAGTTTGTTTCTCCTAACATATCCAAGGAGTCTGAGTGGAGAAATATACCAATGTCGCTTGCTTATTTCATTTATTTCATAAAATCATCCAATAGGATTATAACAAATATATCAGCTCTGCTTAATTAGTTGTAATTAGTTAATTTAAAGTTTTTATCCAGATCTTGACAATTTATGTAGTATGGTCTCTAGCATAGAACTCAAAACCAAGAACTGCTGTACATGAACTGCAAAATTCTGAGTAAATACCAGATGGCACCTCAGCAGTTGTTCAGAAGACCAGTTACGGTAGACCGGTCTTAACTGCTGACCCTACAGGAAAAATATGTGCACATTTCTCATCTGTGGAGTGCTAGTAAAATATTAAACCTAGTATGGCCATTTGTTCTAAATCAGTGTGAAAAATATGGGCTAGAACAAAAATTCTTGAATCCTAGCCACATAAAAGGTTAGAAGGCATGAGACTAGAAAAAAGAGCTAAATCTTTTTTAAAAATACAAAATTCTTTGAATGGAGAAATTGATGCTCACATAGATCAAATCTGAAAAAGAGTGTGGGTTCATGATCTGGTTCCATAAACTTTCCTTGCAATTAAGAACATCAAACTTTGCTTTACATCTTTTGGAGGGTGGGAGGCTTTCTTTTCAATATTAGAGAATATTTTTGAATGAGGAACAAAACACCTGAAGTATATATATCACATTGCTACATCTTAATGTTAAAATAATCTAAAATTGTATTGGAACAATATAATGTGAACAAACATGACCAGACTGTCTTTTTACATGTTTTTACAGTCAAACAAATCTGAGAGAAAAAGAGATGTTAGAAGTTCAGGGCCAACTTTGCAATAAGTTAAATGGAAAGCCAAAGAGAGGGTTAAACCTATACTGTATGCAATTATAAGCTAGCAACAGGAAGAAAATGATCAAAGGAGCCAAATAGAACATCCTGAAAGAAAAGGAAGAGAAATGTGTTTTTGATCAGATCTTAAAGCAGGTCAAAGAGGAGACCAGTTAAATATCTAAAGGCAGCAAAAACATTTCTGTGCAGGGTTGTTACATGTCCTGCAGGGGAAATCCTTCATCTAAAAGCATATTCAAGAACAACCCTCTATTGCAGGAAGTTATTTCTTGAAGAGATGCTCTGTCTAAGTCCAATTTGAAGTTAGAGAACCATTAAAAAAAAGGAAAGTAAACATCTTAACATTACTGACATTCAGGTCAGTTGTTGAACAGCAGCAATAGGTGACTATTTCAGTATTGTGAAATGTATTTTGGCTTATTTAGTATTTATTTTTTCCTAAATTTGCTCTGATGTACATAAAGAACATACTGTACTGTGTTACCTTAGTTATACAGTCTGTATAAAACATACTTAAAATGCAGAGGAGGGGAGAAAACAACTGAATCAAGTTTTTGTAAGATAATTAGCATTTGATGAAAGAGGAAAACCCCCCCCCAAAAAAAGAAATGAGAAAAACAATGAAGGCAGATAAGAAGGAACAAATATAAGTATAAATAATACTAGGAATCTTATTAGGCAATTCAGTGGGTGGGGAGAACACTTTGTATATTTGTGTTGTCCATGATCTCTCAAGACTTGAAACAACTCAGAAGGGACTTGATAGTTTCTGGGAAGGCTAGAGCCTAAATTTGTTTTAGTTTATTACCTTCTCAATCTCTAATCTATGATTCAGACTATCATTTGAATCCAAATTTTCTATCTTTGCTTACTCTTATATATGAGGTCCTATTCTCCTTTAAAAGACTGGGATGTCCAGACTCAAGCACTATTTCTCTTAATAGGGAAGCACAAGAGTTCTCACTGGTAATCTTCTGTGTTCTCCTGAAGGTGTCCTACCCACCTTTTTCTCTGGCCTGGGCACTCTGCCTTCCCCTATGTCACTCTGTTATTTTTAGCTCTTCTCTCTTCTGATCAGAGTACTGTTGGGATTGCTTTTAGGCATGGAGTTGGAGGCGGTGCTGGGGTTTTGGCAAGGGGGCCAAGAGTCTGTAACGTCCTGGGGCAATCTGATATCCCTAGATCTAGGGAAAGTGTTTACAGGCAGAAACCTTGACGCTGACACTGGAAGACAGGGGTGTTCTCAGAAAGGGGACATAGAGAAGGACAGTTGGGGAGGGGAAATCTAAATTGTGGCTATAACCCCTTTAAAAATACCAAAGCAATTCTGAGAGTAGGGTGAGATGGCCGTGTGATTATCCATGGTTGAAGACAACAGCTTTAACAGAAAGGTTTGTTGCAGGAAAAGAAAGGAGATGGCATGAACTAAGGAAATGATATAGCAAAAGGAGAAGGAGGAGGAAAGAAGTAAATTAGAAAGTAGAGCTGATATGTTTAAAGCAGGGAGCGAAAGAGTGAAAATAGATGAAGGAATTAGGAGAAAAGATGTCAGCTGAGATACAAATAGTGTGAATAGACTGATATTGGAAAGGATACAGGATAGAATACCTGAACTGGGAATTCTCTGGAGAAGGCCTCAACATTTGGGTGAACTTCGAATCATGACCTCCTACATCATCTCAGGCTCTCTGTAGCTGCCAGCTTTACCATGGAGAAACTATTGCCACTGACTGCAGGGGAAAGTGAGCCCATTGTCCACTGTGGGGGACATTCCCACAAGGACTGTTGCGAGCGGGTGGTGATAAATGTTTCTGGCCTACGATTTGAGACCCAAGTAAAGACCTTGAGACAGTTCCCCAATACTTTACTGGGTGATCCTCTGCGCCGTTTGCAATATTACGACCCATTGCGTAATGAATACTTCTTTGATCGCAACCGGCCTTCCTTTGACTCTATTCTGTATTATTACCAATCTGGAGGACGGCTTCGAAGGCCAATCAATGTCCCTCTTGATGTTTTTTTGGAGGAACTTAAATTCTATCAACTGGGTGAAGAAGCTCTCTCCAAATTTCGTGATGATGAAGGATTCATCAAGGAAGAAGAGCAACCTATGCCTGAGAGAGAGTTCCTCAAACAAGTGTGGCTGCTCTTTGAACATCCAGAGAGCTCCCAAGCTGCCCGCATCATTGCAATCATTTCCGTTATGGTCATTCTTATCTCCATTGTGATTTTTTGCCTGGAGACTTTACCTGAGTTTCGGGACGAGAGCGACGTGTCTTTGCCAGTAAGTTATGAAGACTATATTGGTTATTTTTCTCTATAATTGTTTGCATTGTTTTCTCTGTTCTCCTTTCTCTGAAAGGTGAATATTGATATTTCAGAATATTCTTTCCTTCAAAATCTTTCCCCACTTGGTACCCAGATGTCTTAGACAAGAGCAGCTGTTTTGCCTAATGATGATAAGAGTTGTAATCCAATAAATGTAAAGTTCTAGGGCAATTACTCTGATGCCACATTATAATTTAAATGGTTTTAGGAACTTTCAGATATAATTTTCTCTTACTGGTTCAGATAAACCTCTATTTCTGTCATACAAATGGTAGTATTGTTACCAGTATTTTGCCATTCAAGACTTAGTTTGTCATTCTGATACCTTTACTCTTTTAAGAATGCCATATTCCAAATCTGATATTTGAAAAAATCAGATATGAAATTTAAATGCTCACTTTAATTCTTTTAAAAAATAAGTAGCTTAATAATGCAACCATTTCTTTACTTAATGGGCCTTCATCTGAAAACTCAATGCCATCTTGATTCTAATTTCTTTAATATCAATTCCCCAACTACAGTGGATTGTACTTTTCATTGCAAAACTTCATAACTGATTGTGATCACCAGTGAATGAGTTGAAATAGTTATGCTTCTGTTCTCCTCAGGACAACATGTATCTATTATTGTATCATAGGCCATAAAGAATGTGGGGATTTCCAACTATTATGGTCTTGAATAACGTTACTCAAAAATCAATGTTTTTTACCAACTGCTTTCAGGGTCTCCTTATTATCTACAGGATTGTGTGATGGGGATAGGAGTAAAGTTAGGCACCTGGACTAACAATTGTTGAAATAGTAATAATGACAACAGTAACTCTCAACAAAGAATTATTCCTTCATAAATCAATATGTTTCTTTCAATGCTAATTATTCTGTGTTTTGATTCTTCCCCCACATGCTGCCATTGTTGTAATGGTTAGCCTCTGTGATTTTCAGCCTTCTCAAATATGTCCCCCAAACAAAAAGTTGAAATTTTCTGTCCTAATGGAGTGATTGCCTTGCTAGCTGACTCAACAAGAAATATAATCCTAAAAACCTGTATATTGTACTATGCTTGCAGAACCTTGGAATTCAAAAAGGAACAAAACAAAAAGCAAGATAGACAGATTTGCTTGACTTTCACTGTCAACTTCTAAACCAGCTTTCACTCATGTAATATTCTCCAGATGGGTTTAGATTGCAAATCCCAAATTTTAAACATTGGGGAAATAATGATTCAGTACCTGTAGATAGTCAATAATAGGACAGACACAATAGTAACATATAAAATTCATGCAGTTTTATTCTTTGCTATGGTGTCAACTTAGATAGCATCTTTTACATATTCCTTGCTCATGTTTCTTTCACAATGAGATTGAGTTCTCTCAGCTAAAATATATTTTTGGTTTGTCTGAGTGTATGCCTTCACCCACTATATGCCTTCTGCAGCCAATGTCATTTCATTTGTCTCTATTATTTTTGGAATGCTTCAATCACACGAAACACAATAGTGCCACTGAATATTGAAGAAGCTGGTAAAATTTAGAAAGTCGTAGGATAATGCTTCCAGTCAAGAGTCATTAAATGAAATTAAATAAAAATGTACTTGTCATTTCCTACAAACATGGTTAATAAGCAGGGGAAGGGGGTTTAATCCAATGACAATTGAAAAATCACAGTTGGGAGAGGATGATGTAAGGATGTAGCACATAGGAGACATTGGACCCAATCGGTAACTGAGCTCTGATTTTGCCTGTGTCTTTCTGTCTGCCACAAAAAATGGCCCCAGAGACTGTACTTATCATGGAATCCCCAATAGATCTTCTATCATCAATGTACAATTAGAAGCCTGGCTGTCTGTATTGCTTCAAAATGTGTTGAGCTACAACTCCCATCCTTCCCCATGCATGCTGGGAATATTGAAACTTTGTAGAGAGGGTAAAATAGAAAAAAAATCAGATGAAAATACTTGCAAGAAAGTACAGGAATAGGAATGAAATAAACCTCTTCATACAGTGCTTTCTCCTGTGATTAATTTACGTTGTCCTTTATCTGATTCTTAGCCAGCTCTGAAGTCATGTTTTCCTCAACTGAGAGGGGAAAAACTTTCAGGGGAAAATCCAACATATGGAGGAAAAGCCTAAGCTTTCCTTTCACTTAATAATCTGGAAATATTCCATCTTGGTTCATGAAGTTTGTAATTCTATCCTCTAGGTTATAAAAGGAGAGCACTCAAGAGGGTTGGTTTCTAGATATTTATTAAACTGCTTCATTTCAGAGTCTCATAGTTTTGGAAATAAGAAACTGGGACACTTAAGAAAGGAAAAGTAATTCAGCCAGGAAAAGTTGTAGGAGAAACTCAATTGTAAAGTAGAATGTTAAACATTTCCTCCTTCTGTTTAACTCAGAAGCAGTGTGTTATTGTGTCTAGAAAGGGATGGGGGAGATACAAATTTCTGCTTAACTATGAGCTCATTGGGTGATCTTTGATTGCTTGATATCTCTTGGCTGAACAACTCAAAGAATTATTGTAAAGATAAAATGAAAGCTATTCCCCATGTTTGCATATAGGTTGCCTTAAACTGTTTGAGGAAGGGCATATATTAAATAGCTTGTTATTTTTCCTTTCAAAGCAATATAATTTAATAAAAATGGCCATCCTACATATTTTCAGATGGATAGTTCCTAGTGCAACACAGTACTGTGGGGATATTTTGTTCTTTTTTTTTTTTTACATTCACTATGATCTCTCTATTTCCCACAGATAACATAATAAATTTAATATATTCCATTTCTAGCTTAAATTTCTATTACTACTCAACCTGTTTTAAAACTTTATCAATTTACAATTACCATAATCAAATATTGTTTTACATCAACAAATTACTTCGAATATCTCTACCAGATGTTTTGTTCTTAGAGAGGTACAGGTTGAAGCATTGTTATCTGCACTCACCCACAAAATTCTATGAATAATGCAGGATATCTAAATGAGGAACATTGTTATCTGTGCTCAGGATAATTTGATAAGGTACCAGCATTCCCACTGACAAGTTGTTAAATATGGTTTGGAGACACTACAATAAAGTGGGCTTATAACAGGCTGGCTGACTGCACTCAAAAATTTGGCATTCATAGCTTTACATTAAGTTGAAGAGCAGTAACCAATGGGCCATAGCCATGTCTATCTTTGGGTCAGTATTATTCAACATTTTTACAAATGATCTGGATAATGGGATTGCTAGGTTGCTTATCAGATTTATGTAGGACACAAAATTGAAAGGCTTGGCAATATATAGGAAAATATAAAAAGAATGCAGTCTAATCAAGACAGATTGGAAGATTGAGCTCAGTACAAATGCCTTTCAATTAAGAGAAATGTAAGATACTCCATTTAGGGAGGGGGGAAATTCAGGCTACACATTCGTAGCTTGGAAGCACTACATTGGAGATGTGTACATATTGTTATGAAAACAATTTGAGCATGAGTATGAAATAGTTGCTAGAAGGGCTAACATAATTCTGGGCTGCATCAGTGGAAGCACTATATTAAAGACACGTGAAGTCTATATTCCCTCTACCCTATACTAATGAGACCACACCTGGAGCACTGTGTACGTTTTGGAGAACATATTTTCAGGAGCTTATTAATAAATTAAGAGGAACAGTAAAGATGATACAGGGACATTCTCCATAAAGAAAGATGGAAGAAAATTGGGAAATTCACACTGAAAAAAGAAAACTGTGAAGAGACATAATATTAACAATCAGGTATATAAAATGTACTACAATTACCCACATTTAACAACAACAACAGTAATAATAATAAAGTTAGGAGAGACCTTGGAGGTCATCTAGTCCAACTCCCTCCTCAGGCAGGAAAGCCTATACCATTTCAGACAAATGGCTGTCCAGTCTCTTCTTAAAACTTTCCAGAGTTGGAGCATTCACAGCTTTTGGAGGCAGGATGTTTCACTGATTAATTGTTCTAAGTGTCAGGAAATTTCTCCTGACACTTAGTTCTAGGTTGCTTCTCTCTTTGATTAGTTTCCATCCATTGCTTCTTGTCTTGCCTTCAAATGCTTTGGAGAATAGCTTCTCTTCTTTGTGGCAGCCCCTGAGATACTGGAACACTGCTATCATGTCACCCCTCATCCTTCTCTTCATTAAACTAGACATACCCAATTCCAGCAACCGTTCCTTATATATTTTAGCCTCCAGTCCCTAATCATCTTTGTTGGTCTTCTCTGTAATCTTTCTAGAGTCTCAACATCTTTTTTACATCGTGGTGACCAAAACTGGATGCGGTATTCTAAGTGTGGCCTTACCAAGGCATTGTAAAATGGTATTAACACTTCATGTGATCTTGATTCTATCCCTGTTAATGCAGCCTAGCACTGTTTTGGCTTTTTTGGTAGCTGTAGCACATTGCTGGCTCATATTTAGGTGATTCTCCACTAGTACTCTGAAATCCCTCTCATAGTTACTACTATTGAGCAAGGTACCACCTATACTATACCTGTACATTTGGTTTTTCTTGCCTAAATGTAGAACCTTAATTTTTGCACCATTGAATTTCATTTTGTTAGATAGCACCCAGTGTTTAAGTCTATCAAAACTGTCCTGTATCTTAAGCCTATCTTCTGAGTGTTGGCTATTCCTGCCAGCTTGGTGTCGTCTGCAAATTTGATGAGTTCCCCATCTATCCCCTCATCTAAATCATTGATGAAGATGTTGAAGAGCACTGGACTCAGAACAGAGCCCTGGTATCCCACTACACACTTCCCTCCATGTAGATGTGGTTCCATTGAGGACCACACGCTGAGTACGTCTGGTCAGCCAGCTACAGATCCATCTGGTGGTGATGCTGTCTAACCCACATTTTTCTATCTTATCAAGTAGTAGGTTGTCTACTTTATCAAATGCCTTACTTAAAGTCCAAGTAAATTATATCCACAGCATTCCTCTGGTC